GTCGTCCCCGGGAGAGCGCTGAGGAAGGCATGGGCCGCCACTCTTCCGGTCCGCGCCGCAGGGGAGGACGCCACATTCCTCCTTCCCTGTCCCCTCCCTGTTGCTTTTCCAAGAAACACGCCCCGGTTCCCCGAGGCTGGGCACGGAGGTTGCACCCGAAACGCAACCCTGCGCCGCCCCCCTGCTCTGAGCGCTGCGTTACGGTTCCTTCAGCATCGGCCTGGGGGTGTGTGGGGGGGGACACGGGGCGTGTGCGAGGACGCACCTGTGCCTCGTATCCAGAGAGGAGGGCTCTCCCAGCCTCATCCCCTTCCCGTTTCAGCTCCCCATGCGCACTCGCCCATCTCCCTTCAGGTCGTCGACGGGGGGTTCCCTAATCTCTTGGAGCTCTAAATGTGTAGGTTGAAGCCGTGGAAACCCCCGTTTCCCCTTCCCTGAGTCACGCGACCTCCCTTGCACCCCGCCAAGGAAGAGATGGAGGCTTGAGGACAGGGGCGCCCCCCGGCGGCGGGCTACGAGGCGGGGCAGACGTGGCCATGGGCGACGCGAAGTAGGCCAGGGAATCAAACCCAACCCTCGCGCGGCTCGCGGGGTCCGGGAGCCCCGACCCCTCCGAGTCGCCCCCTGAGGCTGTGCCTCTGCTCCTCGTGCGCGGGGACTCGGGGCCGAGCGAGCCTGGTACCCTGTGCTTCACCGAGGCTCCCCGGCTGGGATGCTGTCCACCCCGTGTCACGGACTCCCGGGTGCTCGCGCCCCCGCCGCATCAGGGAAGGGAGCGACGCGTGGGAGATGTCTGGGCCATCGGGTCTCCGCTGGGTCTGCGGGCGACCTTGAGTACCGGGGAGAGGGGGCAGGACGGGGAGCGCCACCCCAACAGGCGCTCTCCCTAGAATTCGTTTTGGAGGGTGCCCCCCCTCCCCCTGCGTTCGGCGAATGAGCCTGGCCTCCCGGTGAGTCACCGCGAGCGGGCGACAAGGATTCCCAGCAGCCGGTAATTAATTGCACCGCGGCTCGGCCCACGGCGGGACCCCAGTCGGGCCGTGCCTCCCGCAGCCCTGCAGCGGCGCCACCCCTGAGTCACAGCCGTCGGACCTCCGCCGTCCGGAAGCGGCCTGCCGGCCTGGGCGCCGCCAGAGGGCACTGGACTCCGACCCACTGTGGGCCCGCTTTGAGCCAATCCTGCGGAGGGGAGTCCAGGCTGTCCCCGCTAGCAGGTGCGGGAGCGGGGGATGGGACGCTCTCCGCCCTCAGAGTTCAGGCTTTGTGGAGAGCCGCTTGTACTTGGTTTACATACAGCCTTTCAGGAAAACGGGACCGCTTTGTGTGTGTACTGGAAGGGACCTCAGAGATAAACTCGTCCAAACCGCTTGTTTTACAGGTGGGAACCCTTCCAACCAGAGAGGGTCACGTGTCCAGGGACACAAGGCAATTCCGACCTGGAACCAGCACTTGAACTTCCTGGTGGCTCTGTGCAGTCACTGCTCCTTCAAGGCCCAGCTGCCTTCTGACCCCAAGTTCGCAATGCCATTAATAGCAGACCAACTCCCAAATGCTGGGTCTCCCCCCTCCAAAATAAAGCTTTGGGACTGAAGAGAAACAAGGCAGGAAGGCGCGTCTCAGGGTGGGATCGGTGGGTGGAAGAGGAGGGAGTCCCGGTCTGCCCATCTGCACCCACACTGCTCCTCACCGTCACTCCCCTTCCATGGTGTTGACCTACAGGTGGAACATGAGCTCCTTGGAGCAGAGCCCAGGTCTCGACATCTTCCTGTGTCCCCAGCACTCATCTCCAAGGCAGTTGCTCAGCTCTCACTGTGGGTTCTGCCACATGACAATTCAGAAGGAGATCAGCCTGGTGACAGTGCCTCTGGGGAGCCCACCTCCCTCTTTGCTTCTGGTTCTTTGCAGGGGCTGAAGCACCAAGCCCACCCCAGCCTTGAGGTGGACTCAGAGCTCAGGTGTGGCCAATCGGAGCCCAGGATTCCCCCAGCCACAGTGATTGGCTGGGCGTGGTTCATTTCACAACCAATGAGAGCCCTGGGAAAGCATTTCTAAGAGGCGCCAAGGCAGAGGGAGGGGCGCAGGTAATGAGGCCACAGGCCCACAGGGCACAGCAGAGCCCCCCACCCACCCACTGGGGGGTCAAGTGCATTCTCCCGTTCAGGCCACTGTGAGTTGGTCCCAAGCAGGAGCAGCGCCGCCGGCACCTGCGAGGTGGCAGCCTGTCCCTGGGCCTCCCTGAACCTCAGCGTTTTTAGCAAAAACAGATGTATCTGATTAAGTAATAAAGGACATGGTGGTTTTAGAACTCTCGACTGCCTAGGTAGATTTGCTAGGTTTTTTACACATGGTGCGAGTGCCCATCACCGCAGGTCTAAGGATTATGACCCGGTCCGAGCCAGAGACCCGTTTATCGCTGTTCCCAGTGAGGCAGCATGGGCCCCACTCCCGGTCCAGTGCTCCTCCCACATCAGCACCCTGTGTCTGTGAAACACGTTATCCTGCTAGTAGAGGACAGAGGTGCAGCGCTCTCGGCCAAAGGTCCCCCAGCGGTTGCCCAGGGGCCCCAACAGGCAGCAGTCAGTGCTGGCGGAAGGTAGGCGCCCTTCGCTGGCAAGGAGCCAGAGCTGCCTGCCGTGCCCAGAACACATGACTCCTTGGGCACATGCAGTGCTTCGTCACATTAATGCCCACATCTTTGCAAACAGGCCGACGATGCAGACTCATCACCCCCATTTTACAGATGGGGAAGGTGAGGCACTGAGTCCGGTGGCCCCAAATCACAGAGAGGAGCTGTGGTGAGCCTGCCCTTCCTCGGGGCCCCAGTGCCAGCACTATAGGTTCCTCCCGCCACGCCTAGCTTTGCCAGACCTCACTGATTCCTCGTGGCCTGCGACATTTGCGATTGATGGCACGTCTCCACGTTAGACCTCCAGCAGTGGTGATTCCAGAGGACAGCACTCGGCAGCTGGGCAGCCGGGCCCATCCGGAGCTTCCCAGGCTCTGCTTTGGGAGGTGAATCAGTGTGTCATTGAGCCAGGGGTCTGTGGTCACAGTTTAGGAGCATTGGGTTAAACAGGAGAGGAATCGGGACCTCTCAGAGCCTTTGGTCCGCTAACCGGCATTGTGGCCCCAGACAGAAGTACTGCAAGCAGTGTTTCCCAGATTCATTCAACCCCGAATCTGCCTTTGGGCGCAAGGTCGGCCTCAGCACCAGATCCTGGGGCCGCTCTTGGGAAACCATGGGCCCCGCCCAAAGAGCAGGGCACAGGGAGGCAGGGCACCTGGGTTCCACTTCCAGTCCCACACAGACAAACCCTCTACCAGTTCAGGTCCTTGTGGCCGCCAGCTTCTCGCTGCCCCCCCACACACACTTCCAGCTGAGCACCCCTTCTCTCCTCCACCTGGGGCCAGAGCCTCCTTCTGAACACACTGGCCCTTCCGTGCCGAAAGCCCTCCAGCTGGTCCTGGGTCAAGCCTAGGCCCTCGCCCTGGCATTCCCACCCTCAGCCCCTGCCTCCCGCTCCAGCCATCCCACGCACGCTGCCTCTCCCAGCTTTTGCTCCCGCTGTTCCCTCCTTCAAACCAAGGACGTCCCCCCGTGCCCCATGCACACACACACATCCTTGCTTTATTAGAGGAAATGTGATTAGTGGATCTGAGGCTTCTTAATGGGGCCTGAACCATGGCCCCTCTCCATGGCTGATCTGTAAATAGCTCCGTCACATTCCCCGAAGCCCCTGGGCTGCCAGGATCAATCGGGCCATCGGCAGAGGCTCCTGCAGCTGACAGCTCCCGAGGGGGCTGCTGGAGGAGCATGAGCCCGTGCCCAGCAGGAGGGTCTCATTAACCGAGGTCTGAGCGGCAGGGTCGACACGGGGGGACGCTGTTCTAAAGCCAGGCAGACACGCTGGGAGGGCAGCATGTCCGCGAGCACAGCTGGGCCTCCCGGGCAGTGGAGGGCATCCCATCCTGGCCTCCATTTCTGGGGACCCGGGCTGGGCAGAGCAGGTTCCTGGGCGTTTGCTGACTAGATTAATGACATGCATCCAGGAAGGACAGACCGGTTGGTGGCCTTTTCTTGCAGCCATCTCCCCACCCGGTGCCTGCAATCACTAGACGTTCATAGAGAGGAGACGTTTGTTGAATCCAGTTCTGCTTTCTTAAAAGTAATAATAATAAATTGATAAAACAAAAATTGAAAACAAAAATCTTCTGCTCTTAAAAATAAAAACAATAGTTGATGGAGCAGGCCTTCAATCGAGTTTCCTCGTCTTGAGCTTGGCTGTGAGACGGGCTGATCTCCTAGGGCTGTTGGTGTGATGAGACCAACTGAATGGTGTCAGCACGGCAGAAGCGGCACAGCTCGGGTCCGAGGGAGCTGTGGGGACTCTCTCCCCAGAAGCAGCCTGTCCCTGACACGTGCGCCCAGCACGGCCCACATGTCACCTCTCCCAGATGGACACGAATTGCACTCAGGCCGTGCAGTGAGTACAGGCGGCCAGGGTCCAAATCCTAGGCTGTCATTTTCTCCCAGTGTGACCTTGGGCCAGCGAGGCACCCTCTCTGCGTCCCTTTCACGCTTGGATGAGCGAGGGGAGAAGAGTGACCCCCGCCAGGTGAAGGGAGCCCAGGCGTGTGTGGCTCCTGGCAGAGGCCGGCCTCATGTGGTCCCGCCCGCAGAGGGCACGCTGCCCTCCCCTCTCCACCTCACCGCCCGCAGGCCAGGAGCGGCGCCAGCCGCCACATGCTCGCGGTGGGGACACTACTCCACAGCCAGCTCCCTCCGGGCGGGAGCTAACTTTAGCCCGGTCACATGGCGCGGGCGCGGTGCCGGTGCTCAGAGTGTACCGATCCCTGTGAAGGTGTTTAAATATTTTTCCTTTTCGGAAGCCTGGTTCTCACCTCTGCCACTTCCACCTTTGTGTGGCAGAAGGTATTTTTGTGAACGAAGCCAAGGTGGCAGTGACTTCTCAGCGTGATGCCGCGGTCCTGTGCACACCGCTGGTGTCTCAGGGACTTGCAGGTGTGTCAGCTCCCAGGGAGAGAGACGAGGGGAAGGGTGCGTGCAAGGCCCCAAAGGCCCCTGCGCCCCGTTCCATGGTCCCTCCCCCCGGTGGCCTCCAGGGCCCCCAGGCGGGGTGTGGGCAAGGCCCTGTGTGCCCCCACTGCCAGCAGCACTGGTGCCTTGTGTTCACACTCGGCCTCATGCTCCCCGGGAACAGGGCCTTCCTACCTGTCTGCCCCCAGTAGCGAGGAGGGCTTGGCAAACATCCACTGAGTGGAACTAAGGCCCGAGTCCCCTGGAAGTGCCTGGGAGGTTATCTCCACCTCTAAGCTGCTCTCTGCCCCCAACATCACCTGTCAGACTGGGGGTCTATGTGCCGGGCTTAAGCTGGGGTCTGGGACACAAGGCGGGCAGGAGATGGCGGAGTGTGGAGCTGGAGACCTGTAGGTCACGTGGGGGCTGCAGAAGCCCAGAAGAGCCAAGACTAGGGGGGCCCAGAGTGTTCTCCAGTAAACGGGCCTTTGCTTTCCAGCCCCTGGGCTGCAGGACGGGCTCGTCCCAGCTCTCGAGGTTGCTGTGAGCACAGAGCAGGCCCTGTCACGCCGAGGATGAGCACATAGTAGGGACAACCTTCCTACAGGACGAAGGAACTCAGGCAATTCGTGTCCTTCCTCGTTGGACGAATGAGGATACCACGGCCCAGAGAAGTAGCAGGGCTTACGGGGGGCACGGAGTTGTCATCGGCAGAGCTGGGACAACATCTGCCTCCGGTGTCGCCTGAGCTCAGGACCCCTGAGGGTCTCCAGGGAGTCTTCCCAGCTCAGCAACCCGGCTCTTGCCCCCCATGCCCACGAGAGGCACTGGGGAGCCCGCAGCAAGGTCCCTGCTGTCACGCAGCAGACGTCCTGCTGAGAGAGTGGGCAATACGCTGGTTAGCCAGCAGGGCACAGCCGGAGATGGGGGACTGCAGGAAGATGAGACAGCATGGGACAGCGAAAAGTGTGGCGTGGGCCAAGCAGTACTGGGGCACAGTGGTCAGGGACAGCCTCCCTCAGGAGATGGCACTTGAGCTGAGACTTGAATGACGTGTTGGAATCCAGGGGTGGGTGTCCAGGCAGAGGGAACCGCTGATGCCCTGCATCAGGAGAAGGATCTTGGCTTGTTCAGGGACGAGCAAGAAGGCCAAGGTGGCTGGGATGTGGGTCTGGGAGAAGGCGGTCAAGGTCAGGGACCCAAGGTCCCTGGAGGACAGGAGGCAGGGCCAGGTCACGAAGGTTCTCACAGGTCACAGGCAGCTGGATTTCACTCGTGCGTTCGCAGAAGTCCACATGTGTCCATACCGAGGCGGCAGCTGAGTCGCACGGCGTCTCACTGGACAGGTAAGGGGCCCCCACATCCTGTTGGCATGGGCAGCACAGGGCACTGGGGCCCAGGCAGCTCTGTGACCTGGAGGAGGAAAGGCCCCTAGGAAATGGACAGCTAATTAAAACAATAATGACTCCATCTCTGATGACTGCGTGCTCGGGCTGCAGTGCGCACAGCTCGTCACCGGCCTCCCGGAGCCACCACTGAGTGTCTCTCACTCGGTGCTGAGATCTGCGGGGGCGGAGGGGCAGTGTGAATTAGGTGAGGACACTGCAGCTTCTGATACTATCTGGCCCCCAATGCCCTAGGATGGGCCTGGCAGACACGGGGTGACTTCCGCAGCACCAGGAAGGGTCCCCAATGCCCCAAATCCCTCCCCTACCTGCACGGATGCCTCACATCTCCTTAATGGTGGCAGATTGAATCACTGACTCTTTTTTTAAAATAATTTTATCCTTTTCATTGATTTATTCTTGATCACAAACCACCGTGTTTGCATAAAATAAAGAAACAGAGGAAAATACAATGAAACAAAAGAAAAACACCCAAATCCTAAGGATTTCCTCCCCACCCCAGGAAATCACCATTTCGGTCATAGGGTCCAGCTCTGGGAAACGGTGACTTTGTACGCTAAAGCCAACAGCTGCTGATGTACCACCTCCCTTAAGAGTCAAGCTCAAGGAGCTGGTAGAAGCACAAAGGCCATGGATGTCCAAGAGGGTCCAGGGAGGACGTGAGAGGGAGAGGAGGCGCCAGGGGGGAGGCGGGGGGCACCGATGCCATCAGGCTGAGCCCAGAACCACACCTCAGGCTGTGCTCCCGTTTTTGCCACACTTGGTTCCCACAGGGCAGTCCAGATGGAACCAAGCAGAGACTCTGTCCCTCCTGAGTAGATGACAACCGTGCCGTCCCAGCACAGCATGAGCAAATGTCCCCAGATCAAGACTGTGGGTGCATGTGGGGGGTCTGTGGTGCCTGGGGGAGGGGCGGCTGGCCAGGGCACCAGGTGAGAGGGGTGGGCCGGACTGGTCAGGAGCTCAGTGAGCACGGGGCAGACCTCTCCTGGGAGTCTCGGGTCCTGAGGCTCCCGGCTGAGCCGGTGGTGCGGGCATGAAAACCCACACGGTGAGCCGCGGGCCGCCCTGGCAGTCTGTGAACCTCAGTGGGGGCAGTGCAAACGGGTGGGCTGTGGTTTTAATCCTGCGTCACCACCTGCTGGCTGTTTGACCTCCAGTCTGTCACTTCCCCTGAGTCTGTTTCGTCACCTGTGAAATAGGGAGGTGGTACATGTTTTGCTGTTAGCAGACTGCCTGGCATAGGTGTGTGATGAATGAAGGTGAGCTGGTCAAGCTTGTCTCTGTCCCTAGCCTTGAACCTCACTCGCTCGTAAAGTCCTCTTGCTCCGCCCAATGCAGGGGTACCAGCTGCACCCACACAACAGACCTGGGACATCCCCAGGCCAGCAGAGCAGAGGCAGCAGCAGAAGCACGAGGGTGTCAGAAGGAAGTAGGGAGAGATGGCGGGAGCATGGAGGGGCAGAGCACATAGAAGGCGGGATAGACGATGGGCGTGGGCAGGTGGACCTAGAGTGAGTTCTCTTGACTTCAGGGCAGGTGGACCCGTCCTGGGTGTTTCCACCCGAGTCCCATCTCTCCCAGGCTAGATCTTAGCGTCTGAGAGCCTGGGGGCCAGAACAGAGATACGCTTGTTCGTGCTTTCTTGACACAAAACACCTCCTCAGCCAGTTCCTGGTCCAGGCCCTGCAGGCCACAAAGTGAGGTCAGGGCGCTGACACATCACAGACCAAGGCCCCGTGTCCAGGCCGGCCGCTGCGCTCCGTCAGCTGCAGTGTTGCCTGCAGTTCAGCCCCTCGCGGGGGCAGCTCGTGCTCGGCCTCGCCGCCCTGCAGGGCGCCCGGCACGTGGTCTCTGGCAGCACGGAAAGCGTGAGGAGCCTCAGGCGGGGCTCTGGGGCCAGGGGTCTCTTCGCTCCAGTCTGTCTGTCTTCCTGAGCCGGAGATTTTCGGCAGCCAACTGAGCACTTGGCCTCCTCCCCGCAGCGCTCCCTTCCCTCCCTCACCCCGGGGTCCTGTCCCCAAACCTGTCCCCTCACCTGTGAGGGCAAAGGGAAGGCATGTGAGGAAGAGACAAGAAAAGACTCAAACCTGAAATCAATGAGACAGAACAGATCCCACAAAACGGAGAAAGATGAAAACGGAAAGGCAGAGCACTGAGCAGCGGGCCTTGGAATGTGGGTAAATTAAATCAAATGAGGAAGGATAGACTTGTCTTGGGCTGTGTCACCTAAGTGCTAAGTAAGGGTTCCTGAAATAGAAGGTTCACACTGGAAGGGAAAATGCTAATGATAGGCTATTTATAAAAGTCATAGCTCAGCAACACCCACAAGTTATGGGCCTGAGAAATTACAAGCTTCCCAAGGATCTCATCCTCGATGGGGAGGGGAGAGGAAGAAAGAAGCAAAAAGAATTCTAGAAGTGTCGTACTGGACTGAGGAGGGATAATTAGAGGGAAAAGAGAGCATCGTCTTGGGTGAAATAGTTGGTATCTTATTTTCACCTCGTAGTAGAGAAATCTGTGTCTGGTTATGTAAACAGGAGAGGAAGTGGCCCTCAAGGCAATGGGACATGCCTTGGTGTCTGCTCAGGTGGCTGTAGCAAAATCCCAGACTGGGGGACTTCAACAACAGACATTTGTTTCTCACAGGCCTGGAGGCCAGCGGGGTGGGTCACAGCTCTTGGCTCGCTGATGTCCGACATCCTGCCGTGTGCTCACATGACCTCTCTGTGCACACTCTGGGGAGTGAAGGGCGAGAGAGCGCCCTCTGGTGCCTTTTCTGATGAGGACACTAATCCCTTCGGATCTGGGCCCCACCCATATGACCTCATTGAACCTTAATCGCTTCCTTAGAGGCCCCATTTCCAAATACAGCCACACTGAGGTTTAGGGCTTCAATGTATTCACTTTGGGGAGACACAAACATTCAGCCCATAATGGAAGAGCCTAAGTAGGCACTTCCGAATTAACAAAGGGACAAGAGAAGGAACAGTAACTTGATCAAACCATCAAAAATGAGGAAGAAACAATGATGCAAAATAAATAATCAACAATAGAATATTGTAAGAACTGCATTATATATATGACTAAATATCTGAAATGGACGGAACTGAATTCTCCCGTTAAAAGACAGGCATTGTCATATGGGGTTCAACAAGCCAAAGAAGTAACGCCAATTATAAGCTGTTTATTAACTTGAAACAAAATATTTTAAATATTTAAAATAAAATGCTGGGAAAATGTTTTGCAAGGATAAAGCAAATGACAATATAGGACTAGTAGATATTAATCTCAAAAATGGTTAAAAATACTTATATGTGATAAATCAGAACATTATACAATAAAGTGATATACTCGTATAGCCATAAGCCTGTATGTTTTTTAAAAAAGAAGAGCTCAATATATAAAGCAAAACCTACTAGGAGAGGAAAGAGAACTTGATAAAAATAAAAGTATAGTGACAGACAACTGCACATCTCTATCAGAAATGTACAAAAGTATTAGAAATTAAGAAAAATTCGAAATTAAAAAGCAATCCAATCTGTTGCATGGCCATTGATTGGAGCCTAGTTAGAACAAAACGGATTTTAAGTAGTTAGTTTAGGGAGAATTAGGAAAATTTGAAGATGGTGGAGTTTTAGGAGATCTTAGAAGGTCACTGGAATTTTCTCACGTGCAGTAATGGTGTCATGGTTACGTAGTGAGGCGTCCTTCTTTATCAGCAAGGCAAACTAAAGTATCTGGGGTGAAATGCCATGAAGCCTATAATTTAATTTTAAATAACTGGGTCAAAAACAAATCTGGCAAAATGCACAGTTATTGAATGGTGATGGATGTATTGTGTGTAGTCTACCTGTCTCTGCTTTTCTGTGCCTTCAAAATTTTAAAACAACCAAATAATAGCACCAGAATTTTTAAAAATGCAATCAATCAATGGGAAATGTATATATACCATACAAATTTATATATTCTCAAATAGTGAATACCTTTTCATAGACCCAAGGGCTACTGATGAAAATCAGTACGTAATAGGCCAGCAAGGAAACTACCAAATCCAAAAACACAAGAATAAAGTTTTTCACAGGCCCTCACGCTCTGGCCATATCCAATACAAGTAGAAATCAGTAATAAAAAGGGAGCCCCAACCACTTTTACTACTTGCAAATTTAAAACGTTCCTGCACAACTCTTAGCTCAAAGAGAAACTCAGAGTTGAAATTACATACTAGCTGGAAAACAAACAAAAAGAAAATGCTTCCTACTAAGACATACGGAGTAAAGTTGGCAGAGCTTAGAAACGCGCAGCCTGAAATGCCTTCATTAGAAAAGGAAAACGACTAAACATAACCTCATTTTTAGTACTTGTCTCAAGAAATTAGGAGAAGAAACAACAAAAGAAATAAGAAAGAGGAAATTCATAAAGAACTGAAATTGATGAAATAGAAAAAAATTTAAAACAGTGGAAAGAATATGTAAATGCAAAAGCTTGTTCTTTGAAATGGCTAATAAAATAGAAAAAACCCTCATTAGTCCAATTACAGAGAATGAAGAGAGAGAGAGTAAAATTAGACAAGATTAGGAACGAAGAAGGTAGGCATACCAATATAACTACAGATACGGAGGAGATAAAAAATAGTTATGAGGGAATATCATATGCAACTCTGTGAAAACCTCAGGGACAAGGACGATTTCCTAGTAACAGTAAATTACCAAAATCAGTTTAGGAAAAAATGGAAATTTTTAATAGACCAATTACCATGGAAGAGATTAGAAGGTGATGGGAGAGCTACCTGAAAAGGACGTGAACCCGACAGGCTCACAGCTGAGTTTTATCTAATTTCTAAAGAACTAGTCATTTCAGTGCTGTTTAAGCTATTTGGGGTCATAGAAAAAGATAGAAACTTCCTTATTTATTCTGTGCATCTGGAAAAACTTTAATACAAATAATACAATATAAGGGAAGCTATAGACCAACGGCACTTAGGAATATAAGTGAAAATATCTCAATAGAATACTAGCAAATAGAATTCAAGCAACCGATCAAAAGAACACTACATTACGGAATAGGATGTGTGGGTGATGGCCCTTGACCATGGGGACATTTTGTAGGCATACTGTCACTCCTCTTCTCCGAGCATCCCTTGGTGTGACAGACAGGACATGTTAGGTGATGATCAGGTGGGTCAAATGAACAGGACTGGACCAGGGAGCCTTAATATCTTTTAGTAAATGCCACAATTTTGTATGGAAACGTTATGGGGTTTATTTCTAAAACAGGCTCTAAAAGGTAATCTTGCTTCAGCATCTTATAAATGTTCCATGCAACTAATTCCTTTCCAATTTGAAATCCACTGAGGGCAAGGCTGAAGGAACGTACTTGGTTTTTTTGGGGCAAAAGACATTGTGCTAAATGTGTGATGCATCTAATGTCATTGAGTTTCGGCAGCAACTCTCTGGGGACTTGATATGATTGACACTGAGGCTTGGAGGGGTGCGTGACTTCCGAGAGGACCCAGATGGTGAAGGCAGAGTCGGGATCTATACCCTGCTGAGACTGGCTGCAAAGCCCAAGCGTTTAAATGACATACATGGAAGCCACACGTGGAAGTCCCCCGGTGACTTCCTGGTGCACAGAGGAGTTCCAATCCGTTTAGCCAAAGCCAGGAGCAATGGAACAAACATTGGATTAGGTGTCATGAGAGCTGGGATCTAGTTCATGCTCTGCCACCAGCTTGCTGGTGGGTTGGGCCATGACTTTGAAATCCTTGCCCTTGCTGGATTCTGAGATCCTCCTATAGCTGGTCTGTGCAGAGCCAGCTGTGACACTGTCCGTGGTGCTGACGACGCTCCTGCCTGAGGGCTCCGGCTTCACCCATTTTCAGAGGCGCTGGCCTGGGCGGCTGCCAGAAAGGCACTGTGATTAATCAGCAGGTTTGAAACGGCAAACTAAATTCTAAAGGTGGAAGAAGGAAAGAATTCTTTATTGGTTTGCTGAATCGGTGCCAAAGGATCTTTCTTTTTTTACCAAAAGCTGTGTCTTTGACAATTCTCATCGCCTGGACCTGAAATGAACATCTCAATTTTTGGAGAGAGGCATAGAATTGCATCTCCACTGCCCAGAAGAATAATGGAACATGACTTAATCCCCAAAGCCCCCCCCGTCTGTCCCTCTCAAACCCCACCCTTCTTTATCCCCAGGGAATCAATGCTGAGTTTTGTGTCAATTGCTCACTTGTCCGTCTCTATAGTATTTTTTTTAACAGCTTGTGTATGCACCCTTAATACACTGGTTTGCTTTGGGAACTCCATGCAATTAGAATCATGTTGCATGTGTTCTTCTGGTCCCTGCTTTATTCCATCAGCATTGTTTTCAAAGGTCAGCCACGTTGTTGCAGTCACCATTGTATCCTGCTACACAAGAATGCTACAGCGTATTTATACATTCCGTTCCTAATAAGCATAATAGGGATTTATGTCTTTTTTTCCTATTATGAACAATTCTGCTATAAACATCCTGGTACAAAGGATGTTGCACAAAGCATTAAGGATTCGTTAAGGTAGGGACATGGCAGTGGGGTTGCTGTATCACACAGTGTGACCAGCTCAGCTTTACTAGTCGTGGTAGGGACTCCTGGGCCTACAAACCCCCCTATAGGAGACGCGCCCCATCTGCAGCCACGTGGGGCCATGACACTTGCTCTTCTCTATGTATTGTAAGTGTAAGTGACTTATATTATGTCCAGGTTGAATAATCTCATGTCAGTGTCAGACCTTCCTCACAGTTCTCCCAATTTGTGACTTGTCTTTCCACCTCATTTATGATATTTTTTTGATGAATAAAAGTTCTCAATTTTAATACAGTGGAATTTATCATTTTTTTATGACGTGTGCTTTTTTGTGTCTCATGTATGATATCCATCCTCAACCCAAGTTCATAAAGGTATCTATAATGTCTTCTAAATGTTTTATACTTTGCCTTTCACATTTAGGGCTTAACCCAGAATAGACTTTGGTGTATGTGTAGTGGGGGTCCAATGTGTCTCTCTCCCCGTGGCAACTCACTCCCCTTCCCAGCACGATTTAAGGAAAAGTCCATCCTCTCCTACTGGCATGTAATAGCAATGTTTCATATGTCATGTGTCTATCTATGCATGGGTCATTTCTGGGTTTTCCATAGGTCTGTTTTTCCACTCCAGTGTCTACCTGTCTACCACTATAATACATCTTGACTTATTCTTTAAGAGGATGTTGGTTATTACTGGATTTTGTCTACATAAATTTTAGAATCAGCTTGCCAAGTTTCACCAGAAGAAATTAAGATTTTTTTTTATTGGTGTTGTACTGAATCTACAGATCAATTTAGCAAGAATTTAGTACATCTTTATGAGTCTTCTCACCATTTATTTAGATCTTCTTTAATGTCCTCCAATATTTTTTTAATTTTCCATAACGGCCTTGCACATTAAAGATTTATTCTTGGATTCTGTATTAGTTTCCTATTGTTGCTGTAACAAGTTACTACACACTTAAGTGGCTCACATAACAGAAGTTTATCATCTTACAGTTCTGGAAGTCAGACGTCCAAAATGAGTCTCGCTGGGCAAAAGTCGAGGTGTCAGCAGGGCTGTGCTCTTTATGAGGTTGTAGGGGAGAGTCTGTTTTCTTGCCTTTTCCAGCTTCTCGAGGTTGAGGCATCTCGCGGCCCCTTCCCCCATCTCCAAAGCCAGCAACATCAGGCTCAACTCTTCTCGCGCTACCATCCCCCTGGGTCTCTTCTCAGGATCCTTGTGGAAACACTGGGCCCACTTAGATAATCCAGCATCATCTCCCCACTTGAAAGTCAGGTGATTAGCAACTTTCATTTTCTCTGTGCCCATATTTACTCTTTACCATATAACCCAACACAGTCACAGGCTCTGGGAACTGGGACGTAGAGATCTTTGGGGTGCCGTTATTCTGCCTACCACGGGTTCTTTACATTTTTTTGTAGGTCTATAAATGGTAGCTTTTATAATTTTATTTTCTAGTTGTTTGCTGTTGTGGCATAAAAATGCTGTGGGGTTTTTTTCTATATTGACTTTATATCCAACAACTTTGCGAAGCATCAATTAATTCTAATAAATCTGTAGTCTTTAGGATTTTTTAATTAATAGGTGATATAATGTGCAGATAATGGCAGTTTTGTTTCTTCCTTTCTAGCCCTTATGCCTCTAATTTGTTCCTTTCTTTGCGTTTCTGTGCTGGCATGGACCACTCATACAATGTTGAATAAAAGTGGAGGTAACCAGTATCCTTGTTTTGTTCCTGATCTTAGAGTGCTTACAACATTTCAACATTAAGAATAAGGTTTGTTCTATGTATATTTTTTATAGATATCCTTTTATCAGGTTAAGGAAACT